TGCTTTGGCACGAGCTGCTACGTTAAACACGTTAAACACATGTGGGGGCAACGCATGCAACACCTTGCTAATTGACCACACCCTACCAGTATCAACCAACAAGACATATCCTATAATCCCCTTTAATTATAGCCCCCTTCAAGGAGTTTAGACTATGGCTCACACGCAATACAGGTACGACTTCCAGCTAGGCTTGCTTAGCGGCCTGCATTGCGAGAGATATGTTGGAGCCCAGTTACAGTACGCCTTTCGTGAACCCTTTGCGTGCCTTTTGAACTCCTTCCGCCTCACCATGTTTCATCTTGAATGGCCCATGGATTGTCGATCTACTATAGTTGCTTTTCAGAATGACTTTTGAACAGTCGCCATGTAGGCCATCAATCAGTTCTGCTAGGAGACCACCCAAGCCTGTGAAGGCGTCTCTTCCACCCCCTGTGATTCTGCAACCACCAAGTCCTAACTAAACCCTAAATCGAAGCAATTTGAACCCTTTCCCTCCAGAGCACCAGGAGCTTGCCACAGCTCTTCAGCAGTGCGTGCACCACCAGAAACACATCCAGGTATGTATCATCCATCCTGACACAAGGATTTCTCATCGGAAACCCTAGGTATATGTTGACAACTAGCATTACTACTGTTACTACTACGGTTACTGCTGCTACTACTACTACTAATAATAATAATAATGACGACGACGACGACAACGACGACGACGACGCCGGCCGCGGCGGCGGCGGCGACGGCGACGGCGAGGACGATGACGACGATGACGACGATTACTACTACTGACTGTATCCGGACAATCTTTGACAATTGGCTCAATCTTGCCTGGATTGCCAGTCTGCCACAGGCAGGAAGTCCATCAAGTGGATCAGTTGGTAGTTCCTGGGTTCTTGTTGAAATACTATTTAGAAGGGACATGTTTAATCTGTGTTGGGCCCAGTTGTACATGAACAGAAAAAAAGGTAGTTCAACAAGAACCCAGGATCATCTGAATCCAGAAAGCCTCGGCCCCGAGGAATAGTTTCCTTGGCATCGCATCAGGCAACACTTTCCAGAAGATCTGCTTGTGACGGCATTGAAAACCACCTGTACTTCTGACCTAGGCGCTTCTTGCAACGGTAGGCTATGCCACGGTTGACGGATGAGTAACCCAGAGCAAGCCCGCACACATTTTGTCATCCGTCAAGAGCTGGAAAAGAAGGGTGCATCCGGCGCTGCAGGATGCCCGAGCTTTAACGTCTAAGCATCCGCACAGCGATAAGGTTTGTGATAATGATAAGATGTGGAAATTCCGACAACAGCCGGAACCGGACTGCACCGTGCACATGTGAAGCTCTCATTCTGCGGTGAATCTATGGACCTTTGAACTCAAGCACTCAGTTCTCAACTGAACCTAGCACTGTGCCTGTGAGTGAATGCACAAAAATGTACCTAGGAAACTGCCACAAATTGCTCCAAAGGTCATTGATATTCAGCCTGCCACGGTTATTGCCGGACAATGGCACTATTGCCAGGAAACACTTCTTCCGACTTTCCTCTATGAGAGTCCGGCCAGCCCTTCAAAAGCAACGCAGGCTGAACAACACAGTTGTCGTCAGATGACGGCGCGTGCGTCACGGACAACAATGCAGTAAATGACAGGGTCTTCTTTAAGAGACTCATAAACTCTTGTGTGCCATTCAGGAGTGGAAGGCCAGGCAGATAATAACACACGAATGATTGACTTCCAACATGTTCCACATGACACGTGTACACAATGTACAACTAGAGTATGAAAGTTTGGTTGTACCTCCCCTGCAGGCAGCCCCTTCAGATCATGGTTCGCTGCTAGCAAAAAGTCGGTCCAAGTTGAAACAGTTAACTTGGCCGACAAGACAAGCTCAAGTCAGATGAAGCATGCCTAAATGTTTTAGCGGTCGAGAGGGGGCGCAGCATCATTCCTTGTCATGCCTGCCCACAAACACGTCTTTGTGCGCTGCAAACCACTTGAAAAATAGTTTTCAGCGACGGGGTCAGGTTCAAACGACCACGCCGATTCTGGCTCTACGGTCAAGTCAAGCGGGCCTCCTCCCAAGTTAGCCATACTGGCTGAGGAGCGTGAGCCGCCTCCAGCAGCAAGCCCACAAAGAAAGGGTACCAAAGATGATACAAAGAAAGCCTCTACGTGCTTCATAGGAGCAAATTTAAAAGGCATGGCGATCGCATTTGACAGCCAAAGGAAGGTGCCACTACACCCCTGCCGCCATCCAAGTCACGGAAGAGCGGGTACAGCAATGCGGTGGCAAAAAAAGGAAAGAAGAAAGCTCCAAAGGGTATGACCTTCGCAGACACGGAACAAGTTTGCCCCATCCAGCAAGGAAGCATAAATGCCTGTATCATAAAGCAGAGAAACCAAGTGCAGCAACAGTAATGGCAGAGCCATTCAATAGATATCTGAGGCGCGGCATCCATGCTCCTATCCTGAAAGTCTGGGGCCGCATTGCGAGTTTCACTCACAATGTAAAAGTCTCAAGGGCCCGCTTCCTCACAGGCAAACAGTTCGCGGCTGGCAGGTCTTCACAGCGCAGCTTGTCTGTCTCCTGGCGTTGTAATTTATACGCTAATATGATGGTATTCGTATGAACATATTCTACTAGGTTGTTTTGTTGATATTCTTGTATTCGTATTGCACTATGTTTTGATAACATATCATTGTTTAACGTCATGTTGAGCACTAGGCATGCCAGTATTTTGCGTCGCAGTTCGGGAACTAGAGTGGGGCCGGGGATTGAACGAGATGGGGCATAGTTTCCTTTGTGAAAAGAGCCCGGCACACCTATTCCAACATGGCGGCGAAAGAGATCATGTGACTTTGTCAATGTAAGCTCCAAGATCAAATATTAGGCGAACGAGATGAGGGGCCGCGTATTGAAAATACCGCATTAGGCCCAGGCCACCAGTCCAAGTCGACGCTTGATATGGGAAGGGCGGTGGATCGGAGAGCCTACCTGGCTGGCTTAACCACGCCTAATTCCAAAATCTAGTGTAGACCCCTTTGAGGCCATCGCATGATGCACTATGGGACCCATACGGGGGATGCAGGACATCTTGCACTCTTAGGACCCTAATCCGGTATAGGCCAGGTTGCGCAAAACTTCCTCCATCCACAGTACCAAAGTAAAACTTTCAACATTGTGGGAGTGGAGCGGAACCCTGGTGCTCTCCGATATACGACTTTGAACCAAGATGAGCCAAGACACGTCCACGCGGGACACTCGATGCCGCTGCATTTGCCCTCAGGCGCAGCTTGTCGCAGTGCATCCAAACTCTGCTGGATGGGATTCGGCGGGAGGGCGTCCATCTTAGAATGCAAGCACAATGAGCAGGCAACACCATGTCATGTCAGAAACAGCATCTACGTAGGTTGATGGTCTCTGGCTCACGGACCTCTTGCTGTTGCAGCAGTTGCCATTGGGAGGGATGTCTCCAGTAAACAAGAAATGCTCCACAGCTTGAGTAGTTGAGGGGCGGGTGAATGCACGGGAAAGCCTCAAGCCTAGGGAATCAACACAAAGTTCGGCATCGGACCTTGGCATCCCAGGCCGCCCGCAAAAACTCGATCTTCTGTTCAAAGGCCAAGGGATGACGCTGCACTGTGCAGAGGAAGTCCTTTGACAGTAGGTGTGTTGGAGGTTCACATGCTTGGAATGCACAAGAAATGCTGAATTCTGCGGAAATGCAGCAAAATTAAACGTACATTGCCCATTGCTTGCTGTGAAGAGCTTGCATGCACTTTGCACCACTTGCGGGGCCCCGTCCTCCAAATCATCGCAGTGAGTCACTCCATGCTTGCCGAAACCCACCTGACCGGTCAGTCAGGCAGAAGCTCTCATGGCTTTGTCTAGCAAGAGGCAAAGCAACTCCTAGTCCGTGACAGAGGTCCGGGCTGCTGATGATGATGCATCTACGTTACTACGCTTGTCCTTGTCATGATCCACTCGGCCGCCTCCTGCTACTACGGGTCCTCCCCTATTCTGTCTGCTCCTCTGTCGCTACTACTGCTGCTGCCTGCTGCTGGCTTGGGCTGCTGCTGCTGCTGCTGCTACTGCTGCTGGCGCCCCTCCAAGTATCTCCAAGCCGCTCTGGCTTTCAGGACGTTGCGCGACATGCTCAGCAGCGCTGCTACACCTACACGTGCAGAGAGGTTGAGCATGCATTGGAAGGTGAAGAAAGCTTGTTTACAAAGGCTGGACTTCAGAGCCATGCGGGCTGGGAAGGTGTGAAGGTGCAATTATCAACAACTCTTGCATCCTATGCATCTCTCTTCCGCACACGGCCGGTCAGCTGGCTTTACAATTGCCGATATTGCACAGCATGTCGAGTGAAAGTCAACAGAGTAGCACACCCTGCCCCATTCCCATAACAATCTGCCCAAATTTCCTCTTTGCCCAAACTAATCTTGCAGGCCTGTCTGTTTGGGATGCGCAAAAGCTGCCTACAGCGTTGCTGATTCTTTCGCTGCGTTACCATCTACAATTTAATTGCCTGCGACTCTAAAAGGCGAGGGCTAGCGTGCTGCAGGTGCTGCGTTCCGAGCGTCAATGATTGGAGCTACGATTTCCGGTGTTTACCTACCGCTGATTCTGCAGGCCACAGCATTCGGCACCAGCTGTCTGAGAGATACTGTGTGTGACGAGCTAGGCAGACATGACGCATTCACAGCTCAAGCCAATCTATGACGTGGGTGATCATGATGATCAAGCAGGTGTCGAACCTCTGTGTTTCGTCAAGTGCCGGGGAATAGTGCGAGACCAGTACTCTCGAGCCAAAATGCATTCACCCTGAACAGACTCAGGTGGTGCCAATGCGAGTAACAGGACTCGAGGCGAATGATGCAGAAATCAGAATGTGGCCCCCAGTCACCCCCGTTAAGAATTGCACATGGTAGAATAGAGCTTGGTTGGCACACATTCATGACGGTGGCAGGAGGGGTCCAGTCTCAGCTGATGAATGTCACGCTATCCTGCAAGATTCACAGCCCTTGCAAATGCACTCGCGTCACTCGAGGCAAGCCAGGGGAGTACGAAATACATGCTGAGTGATTGCTTGCCAAGCTGCTTGTTGTCAATAACGCGTCTGAAGGAAACTCCGTCAAAGGCACTCGCCAATCGCACAGGGCCTCTGAAAAAGCTACGGTGCCACCACAAGTTGCTTGTTGCAATGATGGCATCTTCTAGGAAGCACGTGCCTTGACTTTCAAGCTCTTGAATAAAATCGAAGTGCAGCATCAAGCGCAGAATGCTTGGGAATGCCTGGCAGGAGGCCAAAGTCCTCGCTGCTCATTGCTTCGAAGTTTCATTGTCAAGCCGTGCCTGCCTCGATATGCTTAAACTCCTCACAGGGGGATATGGATGCAGCTAGCTTTACGCCCTCAAGCCATGGCTAAGATCAATTTTCAGACACGCTGGCCACAAAATCTGGCATTACCGGCTGCTCATCAGATAGAAGGTTTCATGCACGATGATGATCATTTCTATGTTATAGTATATTGAGGTAAAATATGGATAATACAGGGATAATATATTGGGTAATATGAGGCTTCATATAGGGATAATGGAAAAGAAAATGGAAGCACCCAATATACTATAATATACTAGAATGTGAGGTGTCGGAAGTAGGCCCTTCTTCCGTCCAACCGCCCTCAATAGTGCCAACTTGATACAGGAAAGCTGCAGTGTGTCCTCGTCTGACACCAGCGTCTGCAACTTTGGCACGAGGTCCAGCTTCATTGGGAAGTAGTTCGTGCCAACTCCCATGATGCTGTGCCTCTCCGCAATTCAGAAAAGTTCCCAAAGAAACCATGAAGCGAGGACAAATGCACCTGGATGAGCGGGAAATTCCTGTTTGCCGCATAGGCGCAGGAATAGGACACGCGGAGAATGGCCTTCAAAATGGGCCGCGCAGTACTCGTAACAGAACTGCAGGTGGTCCAGGAACGAGCCATCTGCATGTTCCATCCTCAGGTAGCCAGTCCGATTGAATGCGGTCTAAAAACCTTCCTGAGGCTGGTTTTCCGACTGCTTATCAGATTATCAACTGCAAAAGCAAAGTCTTCAGGACCCAAAAGCTCCACATCAGGTCATATCAAACAACTGCAAAAAGATGGCGCAATCAACGAAAAGGCCCTCATCGCTGCACTGAAAACTCCCACGCAACTACGCGCCACCCATTGGATCCCGTCGGCCTACCCGTGGATCTGAGGACGAGACTTGAAATCACAGTCATCCCTCCTGAGCTACGCACGCTGCGTCAGTCGATCAGCAGATGCAATGCAGTTCCATGTCGCACCCTAAGTCCTCCTGCTCATCTGAGCTATAGTCTAAACTCCTAGCAGACCCCTTAATATTTCCTACAATAGTACCCTATATAACCCCGTTTAAGGAGTTTAGACTACAGCTCATCAAATGAAAACTACAAAGATCCCAATTCTGGTGGGGCCGACAATGTATACGTGGGCTGGCAACACTGATCAACTGGAGCATCCCAGTTTCCCTCAACAACTAGCCCTAAAATTGGTTCGACCAAGGAATGATATAGTCCACCTTAAGCAGATAGAATATGGGGTATATGGGGATCTTACAAGAAAAGCCAAGCCATATTCTATCTACTTGAGGGGGACTATATCTTCTGTGCCATTGTTGGCTTACCGTATGTTGTCATTCAAAGCCCACGACGAAACGCAGCTTCTGTAGGTGCCCAAATGATTTCAGCAGGGTTTGGGTAGCAAATTGTAATTGAAGTTGAAGATTATGGGGGTGAAAGCTTTCGGAATCATAATGCTCCCCTACGTATTCTAAGACCCACACATCTACATCTACATACACATCTACGTCTCCATCTACATCTACATCTACACCTACACATGTACATGTATGTGTTCTGTACATTAGGCCTTTCAAGGCACCCCAAGTACTCTAGGTCCTGCAATTAGCCAAGCAGCATGAAGGACAGCAGCGCCTGCAGTAGCTTGCCCAAACACCGATTGGGTTGCGGGTTTAGGGTTTAGGGTATGGGGTCTAGGTTGGAGCTGGAGGACTCAAGCAGGGCTCAGGGCTAGGAAGGCACACTACAAAACACTAGGGTTGTCTGTAACCGGGACTAAAGGAGGATGTGGGCATAAACCTGGTCATGACTTGAGGGCCTTCCTGCCTAGGCTCAGGGTGCAGCTGGTAATACTAATCGTAATACTAATAGACATAACAACAAAAATAGTAGTGTAGTAGTAGTAGTAGTAGCCGTCGTCGTCGTCGTCGTCGTCGTCGTCGTCGCCGCCGCCGCCGCCGCCGTCGTAGTAGTAGTAGTAGTAGTAGTCGTAGTCGTCGTAGTAGTAGTAGTAGTAGTAGTAGTAGTAGTAGTACTCACAATAATAATGCTAGTTGCGCCTGCCCCCCTAGCAATTATGTTCCCTGAAATCCCGGCGAAGGCTTTCAAAAG